AAAGAAGTTTTAAAATCGATTACGCTTAAAAACTTTAAGAGGGAGATGTTAAAATGTTACGTACGTTTTTATGAAACTGCAAACCAAAAAAGTTTTATTCGAAAATTTTTACATCTCATAAGGTTTATGAAATAATCAACGAAAAGCCATTTTATTAAACCAGTTTTTCAATTTCACGAAAATTCTACTCGTTATACGGATAAAATACAGCCTAGATCACTCCTGGCATTGCTATCTATTTGTTAGTGAAGTTTCATCACAATCGGTTTAGTTCGTAACGTCGGAAACGATGTTTATCATGTATATGCCAATTGATACCAAAATTATTGGGAAATAAGATAAACTTTTGTCTGTCTCTTGTCGTATCAAAAAATAAAATAATCGGCGATAAAGACTCAAGGTGCGACTTTATTTAAAATGTTGTGTCATGTTGCGCGTTTAATTTCCATCTTTGGCTTGATTTGTTTTCATTATGATCATCACCTTCATCATTACAGCTCTTCAAAAATCCACTGCTGAATATAGACCTCTCCTAATAAATACCACAAAGCGAGGTCCTGGGCCACCTGCATCCATCAACTTCCTGTATCTCTTACTAGAAGGTCACCCCATAAATTGGGAGGCTGCTCTCGCCCCACAATCCGGTACGAGGCTGACGTTTGAGAACCTTATTCTTCGGTTGACGGTTCTTCGAACGATTTAGCCGTCCTATTGCCATAATTAAGTTAATTCATTTTTTCGTGAAGTGGTGGTGTAAGAATATCCACCAATCACCCCATTATCGTCTCGTGGGTGACGTAAGACTCGATAGAAGAAACAGACCAAGAAATGTGCAGCGGCGTCTCCCTTAAAACAACTAGAAAACAAAAAACCGCGGTACTATGGCAAATACACATTGAAAGTTAGGCGCACCGGACCGGGAATAAATGACTGAATTTCGAATGTTATATTTTTAAAACATAATTAAAATATATAGTTACTTTTATAATTATTAAAATATTTTTTTCGGGTAGTCGCGTGTCAATTGTTTTTTACCACAGTTCGGTCGTATGTGCAACAGTTCATTTTCTATAGCAAAAATAGAATTAATGCAAAAAGATTTGGCACTGCTCGTCCTCAAAATGCTTTTTGGAGGGAAGAACCTCATTTGAGCACCGTGAGGCGTTTCTTTCCATGATGAAATTCGTCAAAGTTGATCCTCAACTGCGATCACTGAGGAAAGTGTGACTACTGTCAGTCGGGAAATTGATGAAAACCGGCGCATCACCAATAAGGCAATTCGAGAACATTGTGTATTGGTAAGAGCCAAATAAAAAAAATATTATATCAATATTTAAAAAGTAAGGAAACTTTCCTCCTTTTAAATATTGATTCCTAAAACAGTATGACACGGACGTTCAAATGCTGTGTATGACATTGTGACGTGACATGAAACATGATCCTATTTTATACTCTGGAAAGAAAACAATAATCTTTTGAAAACAATAACACCCATGTTAGTAGCGTGGACATAAATGAGTGCGTTTATACGAACAGATAGACAGCAGACAGACAGATAGAATCTAGGCTACATTTTATCTGAAAAATTTGAAGTTGATTTTTTTGGTGAATCGACTTTTTTATAGAATACTTATAGTCATCTTTCGTTATATATATATGATATATATATATATATATATATATATATATATATATATATATATATATACGTTGAAGAACTGATTGTCATTCGGAATATCTAACGCCTCCTAAATACCCACGCCCACATTCCTAAGGGTCGCTCGGTCGGCAAAAGTGTTTTAAATTGAATCGCACATAGACACAAGACCTCTCTATATACAAGTGTACTTGTATATGTAGAGATCAGTGCACATAGAGAAGTACGCGTACACGTTGTTGTTGCCATAAATCAAATTCAATTTCTGATAATTTCAAATAAAATTAGAAACCTTATTTACTCGTATTTTAAAACATTTCAGAATGGAAATGTACTTACAGGTAAAAAACACCGATAGTCTAGAAAACACTGGGATTTAAGGGGATTCAATAACCACATATCACTAACGCGAGCTTCGAAGTGAAGTGACATATTCAAGATGGCTAAAATTTAAACAAAAATGAGGCCAGTATCGACATCTACTAATTAAATATTTTAGTCTGGTGCTAAATATGTTTAAAAGATGGCGTGAGTAGTTCTTAAATTCGTATTTCATATGATATTTGAATGTGACGCCTTAACCCCTAAGACGCCTTAGCCCCGGTTGACTTTACACTATATGTGGTAGCTCGAAGATTAAAACAGGTTGCCACTTATGAGATTAAGACAGACACAGGATCTATCCACATACAAATTTGTTACGAATTATTAAAGAGGAATAAAAGTCACTGACCTTGGTTCATAGTAAACTCACTTTAGCAGTCCTCTTTGCGTATACTCCAAATAGACTTTAAGACAGGATGTCTTGACGTGTGGGTTGTTTCAACCCACTACTGAATTTGTCAGCTTTTCTCCAATAAAACCACAACTCAGTTAACTGTTTAATCACTATGTTCGTTGTTTAATTTCACTCTTAAATTGTATATATATCTATGTATATATATCTTTAATTGTATATAATACTTTATAACACACTATACTTTACTTACACAAAGAAGACTATATACTAATTTAACTTTACTCACAACCTTTACCCTTTAGAATCACCTTATTTCACAATAGACTCACACAATAGAATAGATATATATATATATACGTATATATATATATATACGTTGAAGAACTGATTGTCATTCGGAATATCTAACGCCTCCTAAATACCCACGCCCACATTCCTAAGGGTCGCTCGGTCGGCAAAAGTGTTTTAAATTGAATCGCACATAGACACAAGACCTCTCTATATACAAGTGTACTTGTATATATAGAGGTCAGCGCACATAGAGTGCGCGTCACGTTGATGTTGCCATAAATCAACTTCAATTTCGGATAACTTCAAATAAAATTAGAAACCTTATTTACTCGTATTTTAAAACTTTTCAAAATGCGATAAATGTATATAACTGTTTCTATTTTTGAACTTAAATATAAAATTTGCATACTCATTGAAAAATAACCTTGTATGGTAACAAGTCTTCAGTCGCTATTATTAGGTGAATTTCCGAACTGTATATTTTGTCGTGTTTACAGAATGAATGTGACGGCGATATTATTCACAGGAGTAATTAGGAAAAATAAAATTGATTGCCCATTAGTCCACTACTTCATACACAAAGGAGCCATAAATTAATGTTGATATTGATAAAATTGAATGCAGAACCAATAAAATTAAATGCAACTATGATATATCCATATTTTTATTAATTCCTTAAAAACATTATATATTTGTTTCTGTGGTGCGGCCCTCCAATCTATTTGTATAGGCCAGTGATCGTATCTGATTTATATAGCCTTGGTTTACAGTATTACAAATGTAGCAATCGTTAAGAAAAATATGCTAGTTTTACAAATAGAAATTATCCACACTTTCCGCCTTAACGCTTGTATTATACTGTTAGATAAATGATCATTATGCAATATTACTTAGCAATCATCACAATTAGTATTAATATGAATCTATTTCAAACTACCTACATTAATTCTGGAATTGAGTCACAATATAAAAGCACGTACACTTGACGCTCGCGGCAGTTGATTACGAACAGTGGTGCTGAGAAGGTTATAATAGTCAAGTCTATTGTGAAATAAGGTGATTCTAAAGGGTAAAGGTTGTGAGTAAAGTTAAATTAGTATATAGTCTTCTTTGTGTAAGTAAAGTATAGTGTGTTATAAAGTATTATACACAATTTAAGAGTGAAATTAAACAACGAACATAGTGATTAAACAGTTAACTAAGTGAGTTGTCGTGGTTTTATTGGAGAAAAGCTGACAAATTCAGTAGTGGGTTGAAACAACCCACACGTCAAGACATCCTGTCTTAAAGTCTATTTGGAGTATACGCAAAGAAGACTGCTAAAGTGAGTTTACTATGAACCAAGGTCAGTGACTTTTATTCCTCTTTAATAATTCGTAACAAATTTGTATGTGGATAGATCCTTTGTCTGCGTTAATCGCATAAGTGGCAACCTGTTTTAATCTTCGAGCTACCACATATAGTGTAAAGTCAACCGGGGCTAAGGCGTCTTAGGGGTTAAGGCGTCACATTCAAATATCATATGAAATACGAATTTAAGAACTACTCACGCCATCTTTTAAACATATTTAGCACCAGACTAAAATATTTAATTAGTAGATGTCGATACTGGCCTCATTTTTGTTTAAATTTTAGCCATCTTGAATATGTCACTTCACTTCGAAGCTCGCGTTAGTGATATGTGGTTATTGAATCCCCTTAAATCCCAGTGTTTTCTAGACTATCGGTGTTTTTTACCTGTAAGTACCTTTCATTCTGAAATGTTTTACGGTTTGTTTTAATTATTTTTAGTAAAGGCCTAAAGATTAATTGTCCACGTGCAGTTAAAATATTTTAGGTTATGTTTCTTTATCGGGGCTATCGCGTCTGCCTTATTGGGGTGATTGCGTCTATTGTAACGCAATAGCCCCATTGTATGATGTCCTAAACCTTTTTATTTTAAGATAACAATAATGCAATAATTGATCTAAATACATATACACTAAAATCATTTTTTTAAATATAGTTATACCCTACTTATATATGGATGGTTGAATATATGCATGTTTGTTACTCTTTCACGCCCAAACGAAAGAACAGATTTTGATGAAATTTGGTATGGAGATAGATTAGACCCTGAATTAATAAATATATAATAGGCTTTTAACAGACTTTGGAAGAAGTAGGTGGTTTCTCGCGAGTGAAACGGAATTACTAATAATATATTGTTTGTATTATTTGAAGTTTTTTTTTTGTAATTTCACTGTTTATTTGACACATTTTTCTAGATGGTCTTTGTAATTAAACCTAAATTTTTCTTTTAGGATTTTTAAAATGGTTCGTTCATATCAAAGAAAAACAACACCAACTTACGATCTTGAAACCTTAAGGAAAGCAGTAGATGAAGTCAAAACTGACAAAATAAATTCATACCAAGCTGCAAAAAAGTATAACATTCCTCGTATGACTATATGTATTTGTGATAGAGTGAATAACAAAAAAGGTATGGTAAAGGAGAGCCGAGGACCACCTACAGTGATTGACAGAGAAAATGAGCTCAAACTTGCAAATGGTTTACGGGTTATGGAAAAATATGGGTTCGGACTCACTTCCAAAGAAACTCTAGATTTAGTTGCCGTACACGTGAGTGAAAATAACTACAAAACTCCATTCAAAAACAACAGACCCGGTTATGATTGGTTTGCTGCCTTCAAGAAGAGGCACAATTTGTCGTTAAAAAGACATCAGGCGGTGGAAATGTCAAGAAAAGTGGCATGTGACCCTGTTATTGTTAATGAGTATTTTGATACTCTTGATGGAGTTTTGAGTGAACTTACAAACGTAATGTACAAAGAAATTCCCTCAACAGATATTAAAAGAAACAGTGCACAATAACAATGGCTACCCTTTATACAGACGCAGAGCTCCCGAAGATGGTGGCAGGAAAGTTACTAATATACTAGTTGTTAGTTACTAATTTTGAATATTTCTGTTTACGATTGCTGCTGCATCATGTTTGGGGTCCTACAGGATATAAAGACCTTAAAACTGCCAACGGTCAGGAATGCGCAACTTATAGAGAAGCATGTGAAGCTCTGCATCTTTTAGAAAACGATAATCACTGGGATGAAACCATGGAGGAAGCTGTGCAGTGCCAGTCACCAGCCCAAATTAGGGATCTTTATGCAACTCTCATATCATCTTGCGGGCTATCTAATGCACATGAATTGTGGGACAAGTATAAAGAGTACATGGCGGAGGATATTTTGCGAAGGTTACAGCAGACACACACGAACATGACATACAATGTACACATTTATAATAAAGCACTTGGAAAAATTGAAGATAAAGTAATGTCAATGGTAGGCAAAAAAATTAAGCGACTTCGGAATGATAAGCCCTCAGCGAACAACCGAAAATGACCGGTATAGCCGCCACGCTGCTAAGCGGGGGCCGCACTGCACATTCTGTTTTAAAACTCCCTCTAAATCTAGCCCAGGAAGAATCGCCGATCTGCAACTTTAGCAAAAATAGTGCATGAGGTATAACGCTACGACAATGCAAACTTTTGGTGTGGGACGAAAGTACAATGTCGCATAAAAAAGCTGTAGAAGCACTAAATCGAACGCTCCAGGATTTGCGCAGCAATACCGATGTAATGGGAGGAATGGTGGTTTTACTGGCTGGTGACTTTCGCCAAACTTTACCTGTTATTCAAAAGGGCACACCTGCAGATGAAATTAAAGCATGACTCAAGTCGTCTATTTTATGGAACAAGGTGACAAAATTCAGTTTAACTACGAATATGAGAGTGCATTTGTATAATGATATCAATGCTGGAAACTATGCTGACATATTATTAAAAATTGGCGATGGGCGGTTGGAAACAGATGCTGAGGGCTGCGTTAAATTGGCGAGAGATTTTTGTAATTTAGTACAGAGTCATTCCGAATTAATTGCGAGTGTTTATTCAGATTTAACGAACAACATGCATGATGACAAATGGTTATGTGAAAGGGCAACTCTTGCACCAAAAAATGAGAACATTAACAAAATAAATTCAAATATATTAAGCAAAGTAGCAGGAGAAATAACAGAGTATTTGTCAGTAGACACAGTTATGGACACAGAACAGAGCACTTCATATCCCGTAGAGTTTCCTAAATTCTCTAGAGTTGTCAGGTGTGCCCTCACATACGATTTAATTAAAATTAGGCGTCCCAGTCATGCTAATGCGAAATTTAGATGCTCCTCGGTTATGTAACGGGACAAGGCTGCGTGTGATACATCTTGGACGGAACATAATCGGTGCTACAATTTTGACAGACGTAGGAAAAGGTGAAAATTTTATTATACCACGGACCCCTATAATTCCCACAGATCTTCCTTTTCAATTCAAAAGGTTGCAGTTCCCTGTTAAGCTCAGTTTTGCAATGACAATTAATAAAGCGCAAGGGCAAACGTTACAGGTAGCGGGGGTCAACTTAGAAAAACCGTGCTTCTCTCATGGTTAGCTGTATGTAGCATGTTCACGTGTATCAAATGCCCAGAATCTCCACATTCTTTCCCCGAATGGAAAAACATATAACATTGTGTATAGTAGCGTCTTAAAATAGTGTTCAGTTAGTTTTTTTTCCAAAATTCCCACAATCAATTAATCAGAATTCCCACAGATCTTCCCTTTCAAATCAAAATTTCCTATTTAGCTCAGTTTCTTTTCGATTCCAAAAAGCTGCACCTCTGACGGACCTATTAAGCTCAGTTTCCTTTCATTTGAATTTTGAGCTCAAAAGGCTGCATCTCTGACGGATCTTTTATTTGGCTCAGTTTCCTTTCAATTCAGAAAACTGCATCTCTGACGAATCAATTTAGCTCAGTTTCTTTTCAAAAGTCTGCATCCCTGACGGATAATTATGTTCAGTTTCCTTTAATTAAAAAAATATCCCATTTCCGTTTGGAATAAACAGGCTATTTTAATGCTTTCCTATACGCTGCGTTTCAAAAAATTTAAATAACTTGACGAATCAATTTTGCTTTTAATGCAGTTTCCTTTTAATGGATGCATCTCTGACAAATCTATAAAACTCAGTTTTCTTTCAATTCAAAAAGCAATGGATAGTTCATTTCCCAGTGACCATGCGGGCGAAGCCGCGGGTAACAGCTAGTATATTATAAAGGAAGAGATATATGAAAATAGTAATACAATACAAACATGCGAGTGAATAATACAATAGTAACTTGTAAAAATAGTACATACAATAGTAACTTGTAAAAGTATTATTATTATAATATGATAACTCCCTTCTGTTGTATATAATCTTTATGAATAAAACATAATAGATAATGCATGAAGATATGAATAATTATTACACTTTTAGACCGGTATGCGCAACGGCACCTTTTAGAGTTAAAGAGTGAGCTGGTACCGAATGGTATCAGTGTGGACCGTTCTAAGCAACGGCATTCATTAGATATAAGAAAGTGAGCCTTTACTGAATTGTATCAGTGTGGACCGTTCAGCGCAACGGAAATTCTTAGAGTTAAAGAGTGAGCTGGTACCGAATGGTATCAGTGTGGACCGTTCTGTGCAACGGAATTCATTAGATATAAGAAAGTGAGCCTTTACTGAATTGTATCAGTGTGGACCGTTCAGCGCAACGGAAATTCTTAGAGTTAAAGAGTGAGCTGGTACCGAATGGTATCAGTGTGGACCGTTCTGTGCAACGGCATTCATTAGATATAAGAAAGTGAGCCTTTACTGAATTGTATCAGTGTGGACCGTTCAGCGCAACGGAAATTCTTAGAGTTAAAGAGTGAGCTGGTACCGAATGGTATCGGTGTGGACCGTTCTGTGCAACGGCATTCATTAGATATAAGGCGAATGCTACACGCGTGATATTTATCACGATCTGGGACGCGATCTGGAATGACTTATCGCGATCCATATCGACACACCCTATACGTTCATTACGGATCACGTCAGTATTGGGCACAAAACTGTTAATTGCAGACATATCTAAAATAGACCGAAATGTAGAAAAAGCTTTTTTTTAATAGGATAGGGCGACAAACGAGCACACAGTCCACCTGATAGTAAGTGGTTGCTGCGGCCCATACACATCTACATCTATCCTCGATTACGAATCAGAATGCAGATGCGTTGTCACCCGTGAGGACTAAGAATGAATACCTCGTTTCCAGTAAAAAGCGTCTCCAGTTCTGTACACTCACCATACGCATAACATAACACAGCAGCATTAAGCTACTATTTTACGCTGGTATTCTGTGAGAGCGTGGTCCTTCCTCGGTCTAGCGGACCCATTCGTGCTACTATACTAGTAATGTAACTGCAGCATGGATGTACCACATACAAAAGCTTGCTTAAAGCTTGTGTGGGTATCATTATGGCAATAATATTTAAAAGGAGAGTGTAGATTTTAACGATTTTTTTCTAACATCTTCTATTGAAGCGTCATTTTTTATTTTTTTATAAATTGGTAGTAACTTCTGAAGTGCCTTCATGCGCTTACAATTGTTTTTAAAACCATCACACGATGTGTCACATAATATGGGTGTTGTTTCCAATCATAATATAAAAGCCTGTAATTATTTTTGATAGATTGTAGATAGTCCCGTTAAAATAGGATTCTCGCTTTCGTTTGCGATTTCGCCCGCATCGCTACAAAAGTCGTCCCCTTCCATCGCTTCTCCAGAGCAGACTGACGCGATCCGTATCGCAGCAACACTACACGCGAAATATTTATCACGATCCTTGGATCACGATATGGATTTTCGGAAAATGTAGAAATTCTGTTACTACGTGTTTGTCTTACTATTAGTGTGTTTTAAGTTGTAATTAGTGTTCCGTAATTAACCTCTCAACCCCCTAGCGGTCTCATGAGTCTGCGGCCGTATTTCGACAAATCCCTAGCGGTCTCATGAGGTCACACCCACCCACGGCACTTTAACCCATAAAAACTGATATATATATATATAATAATACTTTTCTGTGAAGAAGTTTGGCATTATATAATCAATATGAAATACTCTATCCTCTAGTGCGAAAAAATATTTATTTATAATCTACGTTTATTTCGTACGCCATTTTCACGTGAATGTTATTGTGTTGATTTTTGGATTTTTCTAGTGTTTTGTTAGTGTTTAAGTATAGTCTTTTATTATAAAATTGTAATGAAAGTTTTTGTGTGAATACAATTTATCTTTTTACGTAAATAATTTAGAGTAATATATATATATTAAAATAATTGCGATTTTCACACTGCCGACATTCGCTTGGTATAGTAAAATACAATAAAATATTTTTGTAATGAACTAAAACCTGACTTTTGTTTACACCACAAGATAGACAATTTTGTATATATTTTATAATGCTAAACTTCTTTATAGAAAAGTAATCTCTAAATATAAGTCTTAATGGTTTTAAGTGCTGTTGGGTGGGTGCGGTCAAATGCGACCACTCGGGATTTGCCGGGCGCATGCGACTGCGTGGGATTTTTATGGCGCTTGAAGGATTAAAGTATTAATTTGGTAATTCAATCGACATTTTTATTCTCATGAACGCCAAGCTCGTAACAATAGTTTGACGTCACTACCACACGGCTGTCCTATAGCTACACGTGTAATGCTAAATAATTTATTTTTTACAGCTACGAACATGATGGCTTGTGTGGGCGGGCTGGGCACTATATACACTACCGGCTTAATGGATTTCATCTTCTGTAGGTTCCTTGTAGGAATGGCCTACGACAACTGCTTCATGATGATGTATATACTAGGTAAGAATTTATATGTCACATAATGCAGTCTTCCTATGATCGATTATAGCAGTAGCAGTCTATTTGCAACAAAACCTCCTTTGCTTTTTTGTTTGTAGT